CCAACCGTGGTAACACCGCTCCCTCCTTCCCAAACAGCCCCACAAAGTCACCCACCGCCACCAGAACCGCCATCATTGACGAAAACAAAGATGCTGCAGCATCAGAAACCACATTAGTCGAACCCTCAAAAGACTCTACTCCAACCAAAGACACCTCGAAATCCCTCTATCAGCTTCCAAAAAGTAACAACAGCTTATCGTCTCTTATTGACGAGTCTATACGCAAACGGCGAAAGGTGGAGCTGGATCTTGCTAGAAGCAAGACTATGGCTCCACCGCAATCATCTAGACCAACGACGCCAGGCGGAGACTCGCGGGCGAGCTCCGTAGCTCCAAGTGTCAGTGGAACTGGTACTTCGCCAAAAGTTATCAAGGTCGCGGCTGCCAGGTACGCTCCTTGGGATAGAAATGAGTTCTTACAGAGGCTAGAGACCTTTAGATCTGTGTCAAATTGGAGCTCAAAGCCCGAAAAGATCAATGAAGTCGCTTGGGCAAAGAGAGGGTGGATTTGCATGCAAACTTCCAAGAATAGGGTCAGGTGTACCAGCCATTGCGGCGGTGAACTGGTTGTGAAGGTCGATTTCGATGGTTTCGAGGTTACAGCAGAAGAGGTTGAAAATGAAAATGAGGATGATGACGAAACCACCGAAGAGAAGAAAGCAAGGCTTGACGCTTTGATTACAAAGTACGAAGAGCTTATTGTAGGTGGCCATGAAGATGGTTGCTTGTGGAAAAAGCGTGGCTGTGATAGTAAGTGCTTTATCCAAGCCCAATAGCTTCCCTTCCCTGTCCAAAAAGCTAATAATTCGGTAGAAGCGATATATCGACTCCCGCTGCAACCTGCAACTGAAGCACGAAATGGTTTCTACGCCCGTTACAAATCTCTCACCAATGTTTCGGATGACCAACTTGTTATTAACCTGACAAGACCAAAGGAAGTCGATACATCCGTCCTGAACCTACCAGAGGAAATGGGAAAGGAACACCTTAAACAAAATGCATTGATTTTGGCCCTATTCGGTTGGTCTAAAGAAGACAATGAATCGTCTGTTGAAATGGTCAAATGCGATGCGTGTTTCCGCCGGCTCGGCTTGTGGCTTTTTGTCAAGCGCCCGAGTATTACAGAGGACGAAGGCGACGAGTTCAGCAGCATGTCACGCCTTAATGTGGTTGGTGAGCATAGAGAGGTATGTTTTCAAGATTTTTCTCGACTTTGTATTACTAGCGTTTATGCTAATATGCCGTTATAGTACTGTCCCTGGGTCAATCCAGCGTCGCAAACCGGAGACCACGCAGGCTGGGAAATCCTCCTGAGGATACTGAAGAGCAGTATTCCTGGCAACCTAGTCGCTGCTCCATCACCGGCTCGTCCTAAGACGGCAGCAGTTACCCCTCATAAGACGGAGGAAGAACACAGGAAAGACGACGAAAACAGGTGGAAGAGGCTTAAGAGTCTAAGGAAGTCTTACGGGTCCTCTTTTGCAATGTCTATTCTTGGTGGAAAGAAAGGCGACAAGAACGCTGCGGGTAATAACTCTTCAAAGGGGACCGCAACTTCCTGAATATCGTCGTTTCTCTTTCTAAAAGTTGAAATTCAATCAAGTTAACGTTTATGTCTTTTCGCCCTCTTTTTCTATTAATCAGCGTTGTTGGTTGCAATTGTTTGCAGTATCCGCGACTTATTCGGAGTTTGGCGGTGGGGACAGGATTCTTTTGTTTTGTATGATAACCAGAAATCATAATAATGCTCTCTTCCCGTTCAACTATAACGGAAAGCCGTCGTTAAATGTATATAACCGTAAACCATGGATGTTCGTTTGCATTGGCAAATGCCGGTGGCACCAGGTTGTTGAATATCGGCATGCGTCGGCCTTGGCACGCCCCGAGCTCATCTATTGCTTCCCCAGATTAATACTCCCCCCGGCTTGCAGGAAGCTTAGCTCTCTGAACCAATATTCCCTTCTCGCCATACGACTTCCCTCCCTTCCTCAATTGTTCCTTTCATTCTCCTTAAGAACTTCCGGGTCTTATTCTGGCATCGTTCGATCACCACAATGTCTTTCGCCGCGCCCTTCCGACGGTCGTTGATACCGAGAACCACACGAACGATTGCTTCGCGGTATCCATGTTCGAAACGACGATGTTTTGCATCGGTAACCTCGTCAAATCCACCCGAAGCGCCTAGGGAGCCTGAAGGGACCAGGGAGGTGCCCATGACTGTTGGAGATGGAGGATCTGGAACTGTGCGCCCTGTACGGCAACGCCACGGTAGTGATAGGTATGTCGAACGGAATAACACATATTCATAACATTTGGGGACTTTTCTCTAATCTGATTTTATTTTATTTTCCTGGGTTGAATAGATTGGTTTTCCCTGGTGCTGTGAACAGTAGATTCACCAATCGTCTTCGATTCCGCATGTCCGATCCAAATGAAGCGATCGAAACATATCGTGTCATGGACACAGAGGGACAGATTGTTGACGAAACCCATGGTCTCGACTTTGAGGCCCTAAAAGAGGAGACACTGAAAATGTATAACAGCATGGTTACAAGTGCGTATATATCAAATACTCCCTAAAAAACAAACAGGGATATAGTCAGTTCAATACTAATATCAAACATGCAATAGTCTCGGTTATGGATCAAATCATGTACGACTCCCAGCGACAGGGCCGTATCAGTTTTTATATTGTAAATGCTGGTGAAGAAGGTATTGCAGTTGGGTCAGCAGCGGCTCTCAGCGACAAGGATGTGATTTATGCACAGTATCGAGAGGCAGGAGTGTTGATGCATAGAGGGTTTACATTCGAGGAGTTTATGTCACAGTGTTTTTCGAATAAGAAGGATCCAGGACAGGGGAGGAATATGCCGATTCATTATGGAAGTCGAAGGTTGAACTTTGTAAGTTTTTTGTTTTCTTTACGAAAGAAGGGGGGGTGGATGATTGATGATGATGGAGAGTGGGTTTTGCTAATACGTAGACGTTTACAGCATCCGATCAGTTCTCCATTGGCTACGCAGTTACCACATGCTGCTGGCGCTGGGTGTAAGTATCTTAACCCTCCTGGAAAGCTCGGCGCATCTGTTAACTCTTTATTTATTTAGACGCTCTTAAGCTAGAGGGGACTCCTGCTTGCGCTGTCACATACTTTGGTGAAGGTGCTGCTTCAGAGGGTGATTTCCATGCAGCTCTCAATATCGCAGCTACTAGAGGTTGTCCTACGGTCTTCATTTGCAGAAATAATGGCTATGCAATCAGCACCCCGACTCTGGAACAGTACAAAGGTGATGGTATCGCTAGTCGCGGTGTCGGATACGGAATTGATACTATCAGAGTTGATGGGAATGATGTAAGTTCACAAAGCTATTTAACACCAGCAAAAAGGCATCTTGTACATTATGCTAATATATATACTCTTCTACAGGCATGGGCCGTCTACAAAGTCACCAAGGAAGCCCGAGAAATCGCCATCGCAGAGAAGAAGCCCGTCTTAATCGAAGCCATGTCCTACCGTGTCTCTCACCACTCCACATCCGATGACTCCTTCGCCTACCGTGCTCGCGTGGAAGTCGAAGACTGGAAACGTCGTGATAATCCAATCACTCGTATGCGTAAGTTCATGGAACTACGAAACTGGTGGGATCAAGAGAAAGATACGCAGTTAAGAACACACGTTAGAAAGGACATATTGAAGGCGTTTAATGCGGCTGAGAGGGAGAAGAAACCAGCGATTAGTAAACTTTGGGAGGATGTTTATGATAAACCTACGAAAGATCAGTGGGCGCAGATGGCGGAGATGAAGGATATTCTGGATAGGTATGGGGAGGAGTATGATCTTGATATGTATGATGGGGGTAAGGGTGAGGTTGTTATTAAGAAATAGATCACTCTTTTTTCTTTCTCCCTATTCTTCCCTGTCTTCTTTAATCTTCCTTCAATTTTGCCTCTCGGTATCCTGCCTGGCCTTGTCTCTGGTGAAGTGCCGAGCAGTATAGCGAAGAGATAGCCTGATATCCTACCTAACCCATGTTTCAACCCGTGCACATGTATGATAAGGGGCTATATGACAACGGCGAAATTCATTCTATGGGTTTTAAGGGCAACTAAATCTGGAACCCCTTTTCAATTTCTTTCTTTTTCAGGGAAGCCTGATCATAAGCACCAAGAGACTGCGTTGGATGTTGGAAATGGACCCGACTTTGCATAGCAGTTTGTATACGAGTTAGTCACAGCATACAAATGGAGAAATGGGATGTATATGACTAATAGGCTTCATAGCTTTAGGACTCATGAGTGAATTACAAGTATTTTCAAAGTTACTAAGGTTTTAAAAGGGGAATTTCGATATATACCTGTATCCGCAGCTATGAGATTGAATATAGGTATTCCTGGAGCCAGTCTGATCTAGATCTGAGCTCAGAACGGAGGCTTATAATTAGAACCGCCTTCGATGCAATTAACATATATGCATATCTCGAAGCTATTTCTACCAAACATTTTATGGTCACTCAAAGCATAAGCAGGGCCATAAATAAGTTCCTTTTGCAAATTTTGTATAGCGCCATGGTTTCTGAGCTCAGTTTCATTCTGATTTGATGTAGTTCACCTGCATTTCGCTTATGCATCGTCTTTCGAAAGGGGAATTGGTTGCATTGCCAATACGTGTAGCATGTAGTACTATATGTATGCACCCGGTTTAAATTTACATCCGATGGTCTCCAATAGCTAATAGCACCATAAGTGCCATCTAGAATGACTACAAGCAAAAGAGAGGACCTCGTACCCCATCATCCTCGTACAGGCTGGCCATGGGCCGGACTTGAACCCGCCATCTCCCGCATTCTATACGTGGCCGCGTTACCATTACACCACTTTCTCAAGATCCCCATCGAGATCCCCATCGAGATCTACCGAACGACACTGAAAAATCAATTGTGGAGACTCCAAAAATATAAGCCCTCCGCGAGAGCTTCAAAAGCAAGGTCTCTACCTGGTAATGGACGTGTACGGATTCGAACTGTAACCTCCCAATCAATATCAACTAGTTGGGCGTGCTTCCAACTACACCACAGGTCCGATGGTCTAAATAGGTGGGTTGGGTTCTGTTGTTACTTATCCTGTGAAGGATCCTGTGTATCGATATGCACCAGCTTGAGAAATATTAATAAGTGACCAGGATTGATCACGACGGTACAATCGGGCTAAAACTGATTCAGTTACGTCGGCCAGTGCCGTACTTCAGCCGATAATTGGCCAACTGGTGTCGAGGCTGCTGCACGAATTCTCTAATGGGATGGATGCAGCTAACTAGGCGAGAAGTTCCACTTTACAGCTATCATACATGTACATACATGTTGCATGCAGCATGCAGCTGTATATACTTATAGCCTCGATTCCAGGGCCTAAGCATTGACTTATATCATCGGCCCAAGGATTCGAATTCCGACTTTATGATGTATATATATAGTCGAGACCGGTCGACCGCATGTGTGCCAACTTTCTAATCTCCCTCCCAAATTAATTCTATAACTATTGCAAACACCAACCGATCGCGATCACAATCATGGCGAGCATACTTTCATTGCCAGCTGAACTGCTCATTCAAATACTCTCTTACGATTCTATTACTTCTGCGGACCTAGTTGCATGTCGACAGGTCTGCAAATACTTCAAGAATGTTGCAGAGATGTGCTCGATCAGCTATACTTTCCAAGTAGATGCTATCAATCACCCCACATGGAGATTAGCCCGCTATCTTCTAAGAAATCCAAATCTTGGAAAACGATTCAAGTCCATAAAAGTTACATGGAACCGGCGCATACCAAGAAAGCCTATGACTTGGGCGTCACAGTGGAGGTGGTCGAAGAATGAATTTGAAAAACTGGCCCGTATTTTGTATCATGGAGGCAGGAGCAATCAGATTGTCTTGGAAGCCATTGAACATGGGCTGAACTCTGAGGCACTGCTCCCGTTCTTACTACTTCACACTCCGAATCTACAATCCCTTGACATGGGGGACGCAAAACTAGATCTTATGGGTCCTTATATATCTTCTGGAGAAGCGGAGCGTATCTATCTATACTGTGTTCTTGACGGATCACAAAAATGGCGGGCCCGAGTTCCCGGCTACCCAGCACGTTGGAGCCCTAGCCTCCCGGAGGAAGATGAAAATGGTTACAAAACCCACTATTCCTTCTTATATCTCCACATGCGCCTCAGCCACGATTGGCTACCCGGATTATCAAATATCACCCATCTTGCGCATGGATGTTACCGCACTGGTGGCTATTTCGACAGATGGCCAGCCAGCCATCTTATCCTCATGATGCTTCTTCCCCGCCTAGAAACCGCTCAGTTCTATGGTGCCACTATTCTTCCTCCTGATAGTACCGCCCCATTGGACTTGGATATCGACCCTAAAGTCTCATCTCGAAGATCAACAGTTAAACACCTAGAGCTCCTAAACTGTCGGTTTCGAAAAGCAGACTATAGAGCCATAGCCCAAATTACTGGATCCCTGAAGTCTTTCAGGTGTATACTCGAACATGAAGAAGTTCCGTGGTGGGACTATGCCTACGAAAGCGACGCTCATGATTTATTCCGCCTTCATAACCGTAGTACCCTCGGAGATGGACTGATACAGGTTAGTAGAGCTACTGGCGACGACAAGGATCCAAAAGATTTAGAAATTTATGCCGATTTTGGGCCTGACGATGATTACTTCTATGATTCTGATGGTAGTTGCCTTTTCGATCAGGTGGATGATGAAGATGATTTTATATCAAACTCGGAAGATGATCAAGATTTATATTTGGTTCATAGTTCTGGACCTGGTCAAGTTGAAGATGGAAATGTTTATGATATATTTGGATCGGACGGATCTCAACAATATCTTTAGTACCTCCTTGATACCTTGAGGAGATGTAGTTCTTGGGGTCCAGTTGACTACGAGCTGTATCCAAAATAATTAAGCATACTCTTGTTCATAAGTCCTATATTCCGATGTTTCTTAAAAAAAAGTCCAAGGTATTTTGGTCGTTACCCGTCAACGTGTATTAACTCACCGGAAGGAGATTATGCAGCGCGCAATCCGACAGGCTTAGAGTTGGAGTCACACTCAGGCCCGACACACTTCCCTACTTTTGTGGTGCCCTGGTACGAGGCCATGCTTCCCTAGTTAATTGCGTGATGTTAAATCGATTAATCATAAGAGAACTGAGAATTAATGTTTTGTAAGGTATCATTTTTCAAATATGCTGATACTTTGGCCAAATTTAAATACTTGGGTAGAAACCTCATATAATATTGTTGACTGTTAACTCTCAACTAGTGGCATTTCATATTCCAGTCATAAAATATATATTAGATTGACGGAAGTAAAAACATTTCTACTCTAGAATTACGGTGCTACATATGCGCGCCAATGCATATGCATGTTTTCGAAGTAAACACTCGAGCTCTCATTCTCCTAACCAATCAATAGCTAAAGAACTCGAAATCGAAGGAGACCTTGCAGGATACGATTCTATATTTAAACTTAGTCATCCTAATTATGTATACATTATCGAGCAAGGCTATGAGCATGAGCACCGCCCGTAAATTAGTACTATGTATAATATATGGTATACGAACTTAGGACTCTGTACGATGGTATACGTAAAATGAATACTGCCATCTTCAGAGCTAGAAAACTACAACTAAGGATTGATAGTATACTAATTATAACCAGTAGTATATGAGGTACACAATTGGAGTAATAATAGTAGTCTAGAAGCGTACAAGCTAGAAGCTCGCAATATAAAATTATCGAGAATCAAAATTGCCTTATATGGAAGGCTCACTAATAGATTAAATAAAGATAGTGCTCCTTTTAACTACTTTTGGGCTAGTTTCCCACGCTAGTTACAAACGAAGTGGCATTATTATTGGTCGGCCAAAGGTCGTGCAACCCGGTCTAGGGGCGCTGTGGGCGCTTACTGGCTGCACCATTCAATTGAGCATGGAGGCTAAACCTCCTGTGAATGCCACTCTCCTTTGGTCCCATTCCCAAAGTATCACATCGCGCCTACCAGACTAATCAAATCTCAAGTTAAGTTTTTTTGAGATCAAGTCAGAGATGCTTGGCCTCCACAATGTATTTAAATTTAGATGCATAAGTATGCATATGCATGGATATCGGATGAATCCGTGGAGCACGCAGGCCAGGCCCTACGATCAATCGATAGTTTATCCCTGATCTTTGGCCTTTGAGCCGCTTCCTAATGTCATTTAGCCTTTCCAGTTAATGGAAACCCGGCCTGGGTCCAGCTGGCAGCTGTGCCACATGCTATGATGATAGGATATATAGTCAGAAATTTGCTGGGAGGCCCAGGAAAATAGGACCGGCCACTCCTTCCATGCTTCAGTCTCTTCGGATCTCGTTCCCAGATCTCTTCCTTTCGTTCGGTCTTTACCTATATCCCAAAATATTTAAGATATTGCTGTCTAGCGCTAGCGCTAGCTAGTTTTTTTATTTTATCTTACATTAACGCGAACGCTAGCCGTCGCTATTGAATTGTTTAATGTCGAATATCGGCACAGCGTGGACGCCGCACACTCGCATCGGTGTGCTCAGACGTGAAGATTCCGTTAATACTGATGAATCCAGCGGCGTAGTTGTCGATGAGGAAAAGAAGCAGAACAAAACCAAAAAAAAGAAAGATGGTACTCTGCGCAATAAAACTTCAGAGTTATTGTTCAGGTTGTTCCTCGCGTTATGCGCTAGTGCATTTATAGTCCTGCCGTTCTTTGCATATTCGCTGGACGGGAGGGAAGTGCAACAGTATCAAGAGGGAAAAACAGTGCTGGAGTCGATTAAATGGGTAAGCTGCCTTATTCTTAATTTCCATATCTCGTCATCGTTAATATGGCTGTTGCTAACGGTATCGACTTGATTCTAAAGGGACCTACTATATTTCCAATCATCTTCGCCGCAGTTACAGGCGGCTTTCTACAAGCCGTAGCCCTAAGGCAGGCCCAGAAAGGAGCTAGACTGGGCACCCTCGAACAATTAACACGGACCATAAATATCTTTACTGCCATCACAACCCCATATTTCATTAAAACATACAACTGGCTTTCCTTTATCCTGTTGCTTCTTTGGGCGACCTCCCCGCTGGGTGGCCAAGCGTCACTCCGCCTTTTATCCACACAACTCGTCCCCTTTCAAACCCCGACCGATGTCCGGTTCCTAAGCCCTACAAATATAACTAGCTATATTTCTTCGGGTGGGCGCAATTACGGAACGTGGAGGGTCCAAGCCGAGTATCTCTACACCGCGAGTTTGTTGGGCATAGCATCATCAAAGTACCGTTCTGTCGACCTTTGGGATAATGTTAGAATACCCTTTCTAGAAGAGATAGAGAAGCAGACGTCCAAGCCCGATGCAAATGGTTGGTACGATGTTGCCAACCAGAATACAACTTATTCGTCGCTCCTGGGAATCCCAATAAGAGGCCTTACTAACAACATCACGGTAAACGTTCGGACCAGTTACTCTAAACTGAGTTGCCCTTTCCTTGAACTCCTTGACGGCGAGCCTTGTTTCAATGGCAAGGATGACCGTTGTTTCAACGCTGGTGCACCGCATATTCCAGACTGGATTTTCCCAGCGGTGCAACCTAATCGTACTTGGCCAGGGTACGGTAGTTACCTTGCTGTTGGCATGAACATCAGCCAGACTGCTCCCGAAGCTCTCAATGGCAATGAAAGCCCGGATCCAGTAGACTTGATTTTCGAGTCCCCGGGCTCAAGAGGATTGTCAGTCGCTTGGTGTAAACTCTCCCAAACATACCTCGAGGTTCAGATAACTTGCCCCGCCTCCCGTTGCGCCGTTACAAAGCTCCGCCGGTTGAACATTGGAACCCCCCGCCCACCACTATTCTACAAAGCCACACCAGGACGCATTGGGTCCCTTGCAAACTTCGTAACGGATTTCGCAGAGGTCTCAAAGGCAGGGAAGCCGTCCTTTAGCAACTTCAATCAGGGCTACATCTACAACCCTGATGATCCTATAGCTTCTACCGTTGACTGGGTGA